AGGGTTGGGATCCAGAGTTGGGGTTCGAGGTCGGGAGCCTCTTTGAATCCCCAGAGTGGAGGTTCATGATTGGGACTCAGGGTTGGGGGCCAGGGTTGGTACCCGGGGTTGGGGTCCATGGGGGGGTCTTGGGGTTGGGGTGCAGGTCTGGGGGTAACGTTTGGGACCCAGAGCTGGCGTTCAAGGTCGGGGTAGTTTTGGGGACCCAGGGTGGGGGAGCCACAGTGGGGACCCGGGGTTGGGGCCCAGGCCAGGACCCCCCAGGGCCCCCCCAGCCCCGCCCCGTACTCACGTCCTGCGGCACCTGGATGAAGGCAAAGGTGTACTCGGTGGCCTGGGGGGGCAACACCCGGGGGGAGAAGGCCGGGGGCAGCGGGGCCAGGCGGGACGGGGGCAACGTCTCCTTCTGCGGGGGGACACAGGGTCAGGGGGGACACCATGGGGAGGGGACATCATGGAGGGGGGACACCATGGATGGGTGGGTGGGTGGGTTGATAGTGGATGGATGGGTGGATGGATGGATGGGTGGATGGAGGGATGGATGGATGGACATATGGATGAAGGGATGGGTGGATGGATGGAGGGATGGATGGATGGATGGATGGTGGATGCATGGATGTGAGGATGGATGGTGGATGTACGGATGGGTGGTGGATGGATGGGTAGATGGATGAATGGATGGATGGATGGATGGATGGATGGATAGGTGGATAGGTGGATGGGTGGATGGGTGGATAGTGGATGGATGAATGGATGGATGGATGGATGGACGGATGGGTGGATGGATGCATGGATGTGAGGATGGATGGTAGATGTATGGATGGGGAGACAGTGGATGGATGGATGGATGGATAGGTGGATAGGTGGATGGGTGGATAGTGGATGGATGTGCTGACAGCTGTTTTGGTGGGTGGGTTGATGGTCCCCCATGTCCCCCCCAGCCCCAGTGACACTCACGTTGCCGTAGTCAATGTAGAAGATGTGAACTTTGCCGCCCGACTCCACCTTCTCCACCCGGGCCCGGTACCTGCAGAGTGGGATTTTTGGGTGTCACCCCAAACCCCAGCGCTCCCCGGGCCAGCCCCGCCCCCGGGGGGTGCAGGACCCCCTGCTCACCATTCCCCATCGACAAACTTGGCGATGCAGAAATCCCCTCGGCGCGGGGAGTACGACCCCTCCACGGGCGGGTGGGCTCCCACCTCGGCCCGCATGTTCTCCATCAGCTTCTCCAGCTGGGCACCTGGGGGGGGGCCCAATTCAGCATCTGCCCCCAACACACGTCCCAAACCTGGACTCCAACCTCAGTGTGACCCCGGAACCCGAAGCCGATCCCAAACCTGGAGCCCAACCCCAGTGTGACCCCAGAAC